TGTTCTTATACTTAAAAGTTGAGCAAAGTGTATTGGAAAAGAAAACGCTTCTCACTCTATTTTAAACCCAATTGATGGTAAAAATAAAGATGCTCAAAAACTTTTAATAAAATCAAATTTTAAAATTGTACAATTTGAGGCACACTGAGGATAAGGCGCATGCAAAATGCCTTTTGGCTTCACCTTGTAGTGGGAGTGGCATATGCCTGTTACGTGGGCGTCCAGCCTAAGGGCAATTTTGTCTTTTATACGCCTAAGACCAATTTAGTCTTTTATTATTATTATTATTGTTGGGTATAAATAGGCTTATTATGTCTAGGGTTAGCTTTATTCTTGAGATTGAGTTATGTGTCTTAGGCTTAGGTTTTGGGAGAGATTTCCTACCCCTCGAATTTTAGGAATTGGGAGAGAGCACCTACCCCTCAAATCGTAGGTGCTTATCTTTGTTTTCTTGCTGAGTTATTTGCTTTAGTGAAGAAATAGTGTTTGCCCTTATTTTTCTAGAAAAACGTGTCAATTTTGAAGTCAGAGCGTACCAATTGGTATCAGAGCATGATTTTGGGGGAGACACTGTCGGTGTGAGAAATAGCTTAGAAGTGTCGACGGGATCCCTTTGTGACCAAATCTTACGATACAATTGCTAGCAAAAGGGCCACCACGGGATCAAGGTGCATTGAGAAGGCTTCTACGCGAAGGATGCCGCTTATCGAGATACGAAACTTCTTCGTAATGAAGCCCTGTGTTGCTTTTGCGCTCACAGCTTACTGGAAAAGAGACAACGAAATTGCACAGAGTCAGAGCGGGCTGTGAAAGAGTCAATGCGAAAGATTGCGATGAACAGAGACCCGAAGCTCCCATCATTCGTCTTCTGTGTGCGTATAGTCGCGTGCAAGGCAAACGAGCTGGAATCGTGGCTTGTAGAGGCGGACTTCCTTCGATCTCTTCCTTCCGCTCCATCCTCGGGAAGGCAGTCGGGACTGATGTTTGCAGGGAAGGCCAACAAGATCGTGAGAGAAAGTCGACGAGATTGCAACGCACAAGTAGTGCCTTTTTAACCTAATATGACGGCATACAAGAGGGTGACGACAACATTACAATCGCGACAAGAGCTTGCTAGGAAGGCGACGACGGACCTTTTGTCTTCTGTGAAGACCCGATGAGTTAGGCTTGTTGGGTAGTCTAGAGATTCAAGCTGATTTTTATGGTTTCGATTTAAACCAACCACGAGATCGCGACATACAAGTTTTGAAAATGATAGAGGAATGGAAGACAAGAAATTAGATAATCTAGAGAAAAGTTAGAGGAAGTGATGAGTCGAATCAGATCGGGATTGGAAGAGAGGTTTGCCACCATGGAGGATTGGCTTTGTTCCAGTTAAAGTCGAATGGAGGATGGATTTGAGAGTACAGGAGAAATGCTGGAGATGATGAAAAATCTTATGGAGACGCAATCCAAGGCCATGCCAATTGCTTCAGTTGCAAACTGTAACCAAAGGTCAAAAGGGAAGGAGATCTAGCCAGAAGACAATGAGGAAGACATCATCTACTAACAAGAGCATCCCCTTAAGACTCTGAGAGGACGGGGAGTGGAGTCTTCGGATAGAGGGGGATGACCAAAAATTGGAGGATGGTATGAGGGGCACCGATGAGCACGATGGAGGAATGAGGGAATCGGGAGTTGGGTATGCCTAAGATCGAAGGAGGGAGTTCCACCCTAGATACATGGGGGAAAAACTAGAGGAATAGGAGGTTGGGGTGGAGATGCTAGAAGTTGAATATGCCGATTTTCGAGGGGTACGACGTACATGGTTGGGTGTATCGAGCGGAACAATACTTTGCGGTGAATGATTAAGATGGGGAGGAGAAACTCATGGCGGCAAGATTGTATTTGAAGGGGAAAGCCTTAGTCTGGTTTCAATGGAGGGAGGCTAGATATTTGATTCATTCATATGATGAATTTAAAGATTGTTTGTTGGAACGTTTCTGAGCCACTCAGGAAAAAGACCTACACGAGCAATTCTATGCTTTGACTTAGGAGGAGACAATCATGGAATATAGGGAGAGATTTGAACTATTGTCGAGACAACTGTGGAGGTTTCTAAAGTAGGACTTGAGGGGAATTTCATGAAGGGCTTAAAACCCAACATACAGTAGCACTTAGACTACTAAGACTACGAAACTAGCCCAGATGGTGGAAGACAAGAACCAAATGAAGAAAGCCAACAAGAGCAACACGGATGGAGCATCATACAGAACAGTTGTAACCACGACGATGTTAACAGTTCAGACAACGGAAGTCTAGAGGGAGGCTGAACAGGACACGAATAATGCACCACGACCGGGAGCAACACTCAAGTGTCTTACAAAGACAGAGATTTGGGAGAAGCGACTCAAGGGACTATGTTTTCAGTGTGATGAGAAGTTTACCCCATGACACCGTTGTAAGAATCGAAGATTACAAGTTCTCATAAAGCAGAATCAGAAATCAGAGAATGAAGTAAGAAAGATAGTTGTGGGGGAGGAGGGGGAACACTCTTTTTTTCCCACCTTGTGGACAAGTTGTCTTTTACGGGGGAGGGGGGAGTATTGTCACGTGGGCTTTCAGCCTATGGATAATTTTGTCTTTTGTACGCTTAAGGGCAATTTAGTCTTTTATTATTATTATTGTTGAGTATAAATGTATTTGTTATATCTAGGGTTAGCTTTATGCTTGAGATTGAGTTGTGAGTCTTAGGTTTAGATTTTGGAAATTTTTTACATCTCAAATGGTAGGAACTAGGAGAGATTGCCTACCTCTCGAATCGTAGGTACTTATCTTTGTTTTTTTTTAGTTGTTTGATTTAGTGAAGAAATATTGTTTTTGTCCTTATTGTTTTAAAAAAGGGTGTTGATTTTTTAGGTCGGAGCGTATCAATGCCTTAATTGGTTGAGGTGCGCCTCGATGCACATGAAACGAGGCATATGCCTCTTTGTTAGAATTTTTATGATGCAACTGTCTAAGTCAATGATGTTTAGATATCACCTGACATAGAAGTAATTTATATCTTGGTTATTTAGTATTGCCAATGTTCCAACCATCTAATATGGCCAAAATAAGTGAACCAAACAACCTATAGAATTGATATTTTATTTATGGAGTAATTGTTTTGTATTGAAAGCATAATATTATTGCTTCTATAATGTCTTAACAATGTATAGAATGACCTATAAAGATTTAACAAGGCAAGGACCTTATTTCTGAATGGTGTCCGACGTTCATTTTGCTTTATTCATTTCAATTTCAGCAAATACATTTAGACTTGTGAGTAACTAGTAAAGTTAAGCTTTATTAGTTGACTTTAATTGTTTTATTCGTCAATGTAGTATATAATCCTACAAATGTAAAAATTTACAAGAAACAAACTATTGCTAAGAAATTAAAATTTGATCTATCAACAATTGATGGGCTGATAGGTCCAAAGACTTTTTCATATTGGGCTATGGATATGAATAACTTCTTTGAATGAGAGAGATTGTACCTAGTGAGCATCAAGAAGGGGTGATTGTTAAGTTAGAATTAATTAGACAGGAAAAAAATATGATATGTAAGCATTGAGAAATAGAGAGGCATGATAGGGAAGAAATATCAAGTTGGTCACAATAAAAGATTTAATATGTTTGTATATCTTATTATTATATAGTGATTGATAATGATTTTAATGATTTAAAATAAAGAATAATGATGTTACTTAAGATATAGATAAATTTCATGAGCTAATATGTATTCTGAAATAGTGGAAGATAAAAAAAATAGTTCTTTTTAGTTCCAAATTATGCCCAATATTAAAATGGGCTGGCATCACATATTGAGATTTTGAATAAATACACTAAAAGAGTCAATGCATCAAAATATTCCACCTACATCTAAGGGCTGTAACACCACTTGTTAAAAAGGCTAACAAAATAAACTCCATTGAAAATTCATCAGACTCTTACTTTTCAACAACACCAAAAATAAAATATTATCAAAGTAGCCATTATGCATATGAATGTCCATGAAAGAATTTACATATTGATGGTGAAGATTAAAATCACAAGGAAATTAACGAAGGAGATTTCAAAGACTTGGTCAAGAAATAACTGATCTTGAAGATTTCGTATTAGAAAATTCTATAAAAGTTATGAGATGAATTATCATGCAGTTAAAGCTAGATTGATTGGAGAAGAAACTTATATCCTAAACTTAATTTAAGCATGACAATAAACGTCCAAACTTATTAAAGACAGTGGAAGTTTAATGAATGCTCTGACTATATCAAAAATTGATCATATGATTAAAAATTGATCCATACGCACAGAGATATAAAATAGCATGGATAAAAAAGAATTCAATTTACATTATACTAATGAGATTTCGTAGGTTCTTTTTCCTAAGCATATATC